CCTTGCAATAAGACATTTCTTAACATTAAGATAAAATATATTACGTATAACGAAATAAAATTACATATACGTAAAATGATTCCTGTTAGAATGAAACTATCAAGAAACAATTTATCGTAATAAAAACTATTGACGTAAACAACAAAACAATATACGTGTATATAAAAAAAAAATATAAAAATAATGCGAAGATATAAAAAATGATTTTGTAAGCCGTAGGTAAGTAATGTCATTAAATATCATCAGCATGAGTTGCCTTTGCAGTGATGATCAATTATTATATTCGTTGATCTTGACCGTCTTTTTTGTATGTAGGTCCTCATGGTCAAATCTATTATGTCAAAATTTTACTGCCTAAAACCCGATGGTGTACGTCGCTTCGTATTTTATTAATAAAACGGGAACGCTTCACACACTACCGCAGCTCCGTAAACGTAGCCTTTAAAGTGTCTCCTCTCTTTTTAAAAGATAAAGCTGGATCTTTCCATAATTACAGCACATGAAAACGCGGTCCTTAGAGATCTTAAAATAAATTATTACTGTGTTTAGTACATTTGCACTCAAATATGAAATATGGAGGAGGCCCTAGTGCCCTCGGCTCAGTTTCTCTTCGCCATATCTAGTAGCCAATAGCAATAACATATTCTCAGATGCAATACGAGAAATTAATTTTACATCTACAGACAGGTAAGTCGTCTAAACTACACAATAGCCCTTGTAATATGTATTGTTGTATAAAAAATCCATCGACCTATTCATCCATTAAAGCCCATAAAATTCTACTTCTGAACGTAGGCCTCTCCTATAGCTTACCTCATAAGGTTTTTTTTTTCATACTTTCCAGGCGGATTGGTAACCGCATTTTTTAATTATCTCGAGCAGTTATTAGGAAGATGCTGCTGCCCATCTCCTGATTTGTTTCCCTGTGTCGTCTCTTACGATATCCACAGGATGATATGGGATAGTGGATAGTAATGTACTTCACCAAACATTTCGTATGTTAAAAATAACAACAATTAATTGAATAATGTCTCAACTGACATTTTAGAAAAAGCGTCGGCTGTAATTATTTTTTAGCAACGCTCGTGTGTATGTGCATTTATGATTCGGTATTAATCAAGAGGGCGTCACGGTACACACGGCAACGCAGCGTTATTCACCGTTAATTCAATCGTGCAAGCAATTATAGATACTTATCATCGCCTTAACTTAAGGACAATAGTCGAGTGCGCTGCCGTTGATGGTTGTAAGCGACTTTGGATAGGACGTTCTACACCTGAGTCACGCCTCAAACAGTTGAGGAATGCGGTGGCGTTCATTGAATATGAATTATAATTGAACTACGAGTAGAATTGGGAGTGTAGAGAACTACGCGTAGAATTGAATACCAGCGTAAATTAGCAGCTTACCACTTTTGTGTTTCGTATGGTGAGTGTAGAGAACCGGAGACCCTTTTTACTAGAAAAGAGGCATTCCAGCTTAGCCCTCACAGGTGACAACGCATCTGCATTTTGATTCGCAAACTAAGATAGATGTAGATGTCTATGTTCCACAGCAACTACTTACCATCAGGTGGACTGTGTGTTCGTTTGTCACCCTATCCTATAAAAAAAATGTAGATTATATGAATAGCAAAATAAAAGTGCTATCATTATTTGTGTGAATTTTGTCAGAGCTAATAGATAATTAAAAAGTTAGATTCAATCAAAAATAAATAAAACTTTTTTGAATTTTATGTTAATAAAACTGAAGTGACGAACATTCTTAAAGTTAATATTCTACTTGATGGTAATTGGCTGCTGCAGAACATGTACACCTGCAACTAAGTCCCAACAAGGAAGGTTATAGAAGACTTGTCACCTCCGAGGACTAAGCTGGAATGCCTCACAGCGTGTAACTATACTGGATCTCTACACCCTTCAGAGTGGAGCACAGCATATCAGGCAACGTTGATGGCGGCAGAAATAGGTAAAAGTGTGGTATTTACCCAGACGGAGGCCTAGGTAAATAGATCTGTGGTCCAGACACCTACATCTAACCTCGATTAGAAACCAAAATACAGATGCGGCGTCGCCCCTCTTAGGACTAATATGGAATGCCTCGTTTCCAGTAATAAATAAAAAGCCGACTTTAATATAAATTATTAAGAATAACTCAAAAACTATTGGACAAACCTTGATCAAATTTACGTGGGACCACATGTGAAGCACCAGCTTTCAAATAAAAAAATAATCATGGAAATCGGTTCACCCAGGAAAAAGTTATGAGGTAATACATATTAAAAAAAAAAGAATAATATACGAGTCGAATCGAGTACCTCCTCCTATTTGAACTCGGTAGAAAAGAGTCTCCGGTTCTCGTCGCTTACTATACGAAACACTCAGTATGGAGTAAAATGAGTTTAAACTCCCCTCAAATTGCAGAGTCGAGTGCGGATATACAATATGCTCGGCGGTGAAGGAAACCATCACCAGATATATTGTAGTGCGATAGGTGTACGCCCAAGCGCACAGGCATTCTATTTGTAGTAAGCGTAGGTAGGCCTATGACCTAGATATGACACACAGACACAATCAAAACACATAATCATTATCATCATGATTACATCCGTTCACAATTGCACTGCTGGACATATAGCTCCTACAAGGAATGCCACAAAACACTGTCCTGAGCATTCATGAATTTATAAAGTTCCTGCATATCGTACTAGGTTGAAATAACCAAATGAGGAACCGAGAACTGAGGACCACCCTACACCTCGCTTACCGATTCATGTCTGCCACTCAAGAACCTTTCTTTTGATATTTGAACTTACTACCTATGATTCAGTACGTAGTATTATTATTATCATTGTTCTTTCTTTGACTTGACAATGTAAATGTTAATTGAATTAAATTTATGGAATGTTCAATAAATTATCTAATATTGTATACCTAATTTAAAAATGTAAGTAAATAATATAATCTAATAATATAATTTAGTAATAATATTTAATAATGTAATTTAATATTTTATAATTGCTACGCCCAAACCGGGTTCAAATGCGGACTATTTTTAAGACATATCTATTGTTACCATTCGATTTCAATAAAGATTATGAAAGTAGTTAGTTACACTAATCACTATATCAATGTGCAAATTGTTCCTTATATATACAAAACGCGTGGTTTAAAGGTGGCCTTATATGTTATGTAATACTTGAGGTCATTGACTACAAACGAGTTACTTTATATAGTAGGTACTAGTGTTCCTTCTATTTTGTGACTAAAGATTATGTCTTTAAACTACTTGTTAAATATTTAAAATATTTAAAATTAAATAGTTGTTCCTAAAATGTGAATAATAAGAAGTCAGGTCATTCTGGTTATTTAAGTTTTTGATTTCGGCTTTTTGTCTTCTGTTTGTCAAATAAGACTCAAGCCACTGCAAAGGAATCCCTCGAATGCCTATATTTTCCAATTTTTTAAGAAGACTTTTATGATCAACGAAGTCGAAAGCTTTACTTAGGTCAAACAGTGGTTAGATATGAACTATTTACACTTACTAAGATAAATTTAATTAATGTATAAGTGGCCAAAGAAGTCGATTTGTTTTTTTTTGTCTTTAAACAGCTTGTAAGCAATATATTTTAATTTGACTTGATTTATTATTCGTATGAGACAAAATTTTACGGCTTTATTAGGTAGAGTTAACATTCCCATTATTTATGGAACACGATTTTAATTATCCTGATAACCCAATTTTGCAAAACCGATGGTTTGGCCAATTTTTAATTCAAGAGTCTGAATCGTTTATTGATTCAAAAAGAATCCTAACGCTGACAAGTCGTAGTCGTAGTATAGCTCCGATGCGGTCAATTGAGCCATGCTGCAGCTCTACGTGGTAGAGCCATGCTGCAGCTATATTATGGTTGTAGAACGAATGGGTCGGCTCGACCGGGGAAGGACCACGCTTTCACAGAAAACCAGCGTAAAATAGCAGCGCTGCTGTGTTTCGTATGGTGAGTGTAGAGAACCGGAGACCCTTTTTACTGGTAAAGGGCATTCCATCTTAGTCCTCACGGGTGACAACGCATCTGCATCTTGAGTATTTATTGAGGATAGATGTAGATGTCTATGGGTCACAGTAACAACTTACCATCAGGTGGACTGTGTGTTCGTTTGTCGCCCGATCCTATAAAAAAAAAATTATATCGCCAAGATGGCTAATTACACGATAACCGAACTTATTCTGCAAAAGATCGATCGATTCTCCATCATCGTGCTAAAACTATAAGTCGTCAAAATCAAACAAACAAAAAACAGTTATCAGACGGCCAATATATATGTAGCGTTCACCGTTGGTCGAAACATTTCTAGCAGCAATTTAAAATATGGACGATGTACTCTCGACAATCCGCACCAAACCGTCACTTCAAAGATGTCTTGGCGTCTTGATAATTTGATTTGCAAGTTTTTCGATCCCCAGATGCGAAAGTTTCGGCCAAAACTACTTTTCAAAATACTCATTGTTTCGGCTACACAGCAATTACATTGGTCAGTTTTCAATATAGTTAGTCACAAGTTTTCAATATTTCCTATTTATTTTGTCCCGCGGAAATATGATACAATTCTTTAAGGAATAGCGGGAAAGAGTTGTTAGTCTCAAAATAGCTTATGTACCAAAAAGAAACTGATATTTGGGCGAACCCTCTACGAGTGCTTTTTCTTCAGCAATTTTCAAGTGCATTTTTCTATGTATATATATTATACACGAAAAACGTGGGTTATAGTAAAAGGGTTAACATATTTTTTAAGAAAAATACAGAAAAGCAATAGTACCTAAATCATAATTAGCTATGTCCACCATTATACTTTTTGTGCATAAAAAGTCTAAGTAAATAAATAAAGAAACCATCATTACAATCCATCACAAGCCGAACATAGACCTTCCGCTAGGAATGCCATCACTCCCATCGTTATCAAAACTAGAAATGTTCATAATGTATTTCATTGTTCCAGTATCGGACATCGGTCACAACATCGTCCAGGATGCGTTCCTCATCGCGGTGGAGGAGCAGGCCCGCCAGCGGCTGCAACGCCTCTCGGCGCTTAAGCGGATCACACCTGTTGATATGTCCAAGTTGTCACTAGAGGTAAATATTTTAGTCATTTTTTATTGAACTATCTAATCGTGTAATTGAAGATTATTTTAATACCAACGTGGTAGAGCCACGCTGCAGCTTTATTATGGTTATAGCACAAACTAATACCAGCGTAAAATTGAAGCTTAATGTTGCTATGTACTGGAAACGAGACATTCCATCTTGGTAAATCAGGTATGACAAGATGAGAATAAATGTAGATATCTACATACCACAACATCCACTTACTATCAGGTGCGCTCGCTCGCAACTATGAGTTTATTTGCCTCACTTATTCTATATAAAAAACTACTATTGATAATAATTATAATGAAAATAATTTCTTTATTCTGGAAACATTTTATATGATTATATGATTTACATTATTATATGATCAGTAAGCTGAAGTGGCTATATAATTTAAAGAAACTATGAGGAATAAAGGTTCGTAGCAGCCACGTACTTCCAAGTGCAGTGTTGGGCGCCCTTCCACTAGATGGAGTGAGTTCAGCCATCTATCCATCGATTACAGCCTATATAAGTTCACTGCTAAACTTAGGTAACCGTATATTGCCTCATAGGGGGATAATGCTATAGTTGCCACGCTTGGGAAGCGGGTCGGCAACTGCAGTTTTTTATAATTTTGAGTAAGTTGCTCCTAGTTCTGTTTCCATCTGTCGCCTCTTACGATACCCAAGGGAAAGTATGGGGAAGTGTATATTCTTACACCGTCACTGTTACATTGTAAGTTCAGCAGTGGACTAGTAATAGTGCTGAAAAGCTATAAATAGTATATCTAAGTGATGTACTAAGTTGCTTAGCACTCGCCGTACATTTCTCAGTTCGAGCAATCAGAGTTTAGTCCCCACCGGCATAACTGGAATTGTTAATTGCAATTTTAACGCTTCTTTATCACGGTGTTCGCAAATACACAGTAAAGGTAAGGAGTGGCCACTGGGGAAACCGTATGTAAGAACAATTATTAATTACATTTGTTAATTGTGTAAAAGATACGTGGAAATTTGTTTAGATTTCTAAAGAAATATCTACAAATCAATAAGCGCTTGTGGTACTAAAAGTTGTGAGTTATGTAAAAAGTGAAGCAGAAATTAATGTAGAAAGCGAATAGACGAATTTTAAATTTAAGCATTTTTGCCTTTATGTAGCATTATTGCAAAAAAAAAAATGATTCAATGCTTGTTGTACAACTCTTATACATTCCATTTTTATTTTTAAACACTCAGGTTAAGCTTTAATTAGCTTTTCTCTTTCTAAAATTAAATAGATACCTATAACTCTAATGACATGATATAGAGATGAATATATTTTAACGTGGAAGAGCTACGTTGCAGATATATTGTGGCTGCAGCATGAATCGCTCGGCTCAACCGGGGAAGGATCACGCCCTCGCAAAATACCAGCGTAAAATAGCAGCCTAATGGTAATGTGTTTCGTATACTGAGTGTAAAGAACCGGATACCCATCCGGATCTGGTAACGACGCATTCTAACTTAGTCCTCAGAGGTGATAATGCATTTACATTTTGATTCTCGAAGATAAATGTAGATGTCTATGGGCCACAGCATCCACTTACCATCAGCTGAACTGTGTGCTCATTTGTCAGTATTGATAGAGAAGAGAGATAATATATGAGAAGGTATCAACTTCGACGTTGAGACACCGGCTCTCAAAAGTTTAGAACATTACTTGGATAATGCTGTCCTAATTACAAAATTAACACGTGTACCTTTGAAATTAGATAAGCCAGTTGATTTTGATTAAGTATTAAAAATGATGTTAAATAATATAGATGACGTTGATGATGTATTCGTAACTAATTTCTACCTCCCCAAATGCTCCTGGAGCTTAGCGACTATGCAGGAGATACGATATTATAGTTTTTTTTTATTCATAGATAAAGGGCTTTGTCGCTGATGCGATTATGCCGCCCTGGTAGTTACAAAAAAATCTTAAATATAATAATTACTAACAAATAAACTTATTATACTTACTAGTTACTTAATCTCTTATTTACTAACAAATAGACATTTTTGGCATCATGTGATAACGGGTCCGATAAAATGCTATTACTACTATCAGTTAAGGACAAATGTAAATTACAATTTGCTCTTTCTCTAGAGTTTTGGTCACATTCTATCAAAATTTGATAAACATCATCGATAATATTACAAGACTAGCTGTTCACCGCGACTTCGCTCGCGTGTTGGGGTTTTTATGTTTTTGCGCGGAGCCCTAATTCTTTTTCTAAAATGAAAGTAGCCTAAGTTACTCCTTATGAAATCAGCTATCTGCCAGTAAAAGTCCTGTCAAAATCGGTCCAGCCGTTTCGGAGATTACCCGGAACAAACAGACAGACAGACAGACAAAAATTTTAAAAATTGTATTTTAGTTATAGGTACTGTATTTACTTTCATATGCATTTAGTAAAAAACTGTAATTTTGACATTACAAACAGACACTTCAATTTTATTTATTTGTATAGATGAACAATTTGCTGAGGTAAATTTTTCACATCAAGTATAAAAATTTATTGCATGGAATGTGTCCAGATCTGAGTCTCTGAGATCAGTGTCGGGTCTACACAATAGTCTGTTATCTACCCAGGTTGATCGCATTGGGTGCGGCTGGATCGTACGGTACCATATACCCTTCTCTTTTGATCTTTCGTCAAAATATTCGTTCCAGAGATCATAACTATATTTTTTCAATAAAGATTTGTAATTTTGAAATGAAGGGGCAATATCAATGTCAATGCCATCAGAGATAGCTTGCTTGGCTAAGATATCAGCTTCCTCATTACCCTATAAGCCAATGTGCGAAGGTATCCACTATAAATATATTATTCTGGAATTAGCCTGGATATTATAGTTTCATAGTGTATTCGTCTCACTCGTTCCAGTCTGTGTCTGATGTTACTCTTATGCAATAAGATAAGACACGCTTCAAGGCACAGTAAGTTCATTCTGCGTAGATCGGACCAAAATTAATAATAAAAAAGCTGGAGGTACTCCGGGCACAGAATAAATAATTGATCCGGGTTAACTCTGACATCGGGATGTCAATTAGCACCCGCACCCAAAACGTCGGGAATTTAAAAAATATATAATTAAACGCGATAAAATCCTTAAAAGTAGTTTTATTCAACGTTTTTATTAAATTAAATATAAGAAATCATTGTGTCTAATGTCTTCAGTTTCTTTTTAACCACGACGCAAAAAGATGGGTGTTATAAGTTTGACCGTTATGTGTGTCTGTCCGTCTGTGTCTCTGTATGTGGCACCGTAGGGTGGATGCCCCTATTACCAGCCTTTTAGTGCCAATTTCAACTTTAAAAATTCCTGCTATTTTAATTAGGGCACAATATTTTTAAACATTTGTTTTAATCGATAGTTTATTTATCTAAAAATATAATGAACATTTATTTACAATCATATTATTTCAAGAACAATTTTAAAAACGACGATAAGCAAAAAAAGGCGTTATGGCTCAAATGCCAGTCACCCTGTACCGAATGTTTTTTTTTTATAGAATAAGGGTGAAAAACGAGCACACAGTCCACCTGATGGTAAGTGGTTGCTGCGGCCCATAGACATCTACATCTATCCTCTATTCCAAATCAAAATGTAGATGCGTTGTCACCCGTGAGGACTAAGATGGAATGCCTCATTTCCAGTAAAAAGGGCCTCCGGCCACCTGCACTCACCAAGCGAAACGCAGAGGTAAACCTCTACTTCACGCTGGTTTTCTGTGAGGTCGTGGTACCACCCCGGTTCGAGCCGGCCCATCCGTGCGACAGCAAAAGCTGCCGCGTGGCTCTACCACTGTTAATGTCGTCTTTTTGTGTACTTAATGCCAGCATAGCATAGAGTTGTGCCTTTTGAGTATTTGGTAAGTACCTATTGTATGTAACTTTTAATTTTGAATCTGCATGTGACAAGCATGGGATATTATTAAGGCAGACGACAACATTATTTTATTTTAATGTTTTACTACTTAACTTACTGTGTTTTAGTTTAAAGCAGTTCAATAAATTAAAGCAAATTATGATAAAATATTATGTAGTAAGTATATCCATTTCTAATAATTTAATCATCCAAGTTTTCAAATCATCGTCGTCATTATAACCTAACAAAAGTCCACTACGGAACATTCTCCTCCATAGACTTCAGCAAAGCCTGGTCCTAAACCACTTTACTTGTACACTTTATTTTAATTAGTATTACTAAGTTATAGTCTTTGCTTATCTATACAAATAAATAAAATTGAAGTGTCTGGTTGTAATGTCAAAATAACAGCTTTTTACTAAATGCATATGAAAGTATATACGGTACCTATAACAAAAACACAATTTTTAAAATTTTTCTCCGTCTGTCTGTTTGTTCCGGCTAATCTCCGAAACGGCTGGACCGATTTCGACGGGACTTTCTTTGAACGATAGCTGATGTTATAAGGAATAACTTAGGCTAATTATATTTTAGAAAAATTATTAGGGTTCCGCGCAACACAATTAAAACCCTAAATTACACGCGGGTGTACGGTGGGTGGGGAACAGCTAGTAGATACTATACTTATTGCTTGTTTTTTCTTCTTTCTCAAATAATAATTGAATACATAAGCTGTCCTTAATATACACCGAATGTCAGATAGAAAAGCTAGTACATCTTTTGCTAAACTTTAAAATCTAAAACCAATTTTAAAACAGAGGAATTGATCATAACCCCCTTTAACTAAAAATAAGTTATGATTTAATTAATGGTATTTATTCCAGTTTATGGCAGCCCTGATTTATATTACGTGGCTGAAATTAGGTACTTCTTATTAGGTACGTCAAACCAAATAACAGCCGGGTGGCTGACATTATGCACTCCATACATTTCGCATATCTAATTACAGCCCCATTAATTTCCACTAAAAGAAAATAAATAACTTGTAAATTTTAACAAAAATAACTGCATCACTATGTCTATTTATATTCATACAAATCAAAAAGC